TATGCAATGATTTTTCTTCTCCTGAGGCATTAAACATGGTCTCTTGGTCTGTTTTATAGGAGGTTGACTTTGAATGTCTACATGTATGTCTACATGTGTATATCTTTGATTTATCCTATTTGGAGTTTGTTGACCTTGAATTTTTAGATTATAACTTTACATCAAATTTGTGGAGATTTTGGGGATTACTGCATTACCCTTTCTTTCCTTTCAATCTTGGAAAATATGTATATTTTTGTGAATTTGATGTTCCCATAAATGACATGGCTGTTGTTTTCTTGAAGTCTCTGCAGCTGTGATTACCAACGTGAGAGCCACGTAAGACTGAGTCCTGTAAGGGCTGGAGAGATGGCTTGGAGGTTAAGAGCACGGGCTGGTCTTACAGAAGACCTGGGTTTGAATTCTAGCACCCCCATGGTGGCTAACAACCGTCTGCAACACCAGTTCCTGGCAATCCAACACTCTCTTCTGAACTCCACAAGCACTGCATGACATGGGTGCACTTACACAAATGCAGGCATGACACTCATACACATTAAAAAAAAGATTGAGTCCTTCAACACTTTAACAATCTGTCACACGAGGCCCCACTTCTCCCTGAAGGTATATATGCAGCTCACATTTTCTCATATGGTTATATGTAACCCCAAATCACTGGTTTATTACACTAGATTGAGGTGGAATTGTTTCTTTGGTTGTTATCTGTACCTTATCTAGAGTGAACAGATGTTTGTTCACAGATTCCCAGGAAGAGTTCACACAGCTAGGCCTGACCTAGGGATTGCTGTGCATTCCCAGAAATCCTGGACTTTGAACTTCAAGCTGGGACAGGGTGAGTGCCTTGGTGAAGGGCTAAGGATATTTCACCCCAAGGGGGGGGGGTGCGGGGTGGGGGGGTGTTGAGCCAGCCAGATGTGGTAGTCAATAATTAAGCCAATCAGTCATTTCTGGATCTCGGCTTCCCAGCATACACAATAAATGCCTTTCCTAAATTTCTTTGAAGTCTGTCCCTGGCATTCAACCAGATTTCCTTCTCTGCTCGCTCACCATGGGACATACTGGATTCTATAATCAAGATTAAAAAATGGCACCTGTGGTCATTGATTTTATGTGTCAACTTTGCTTTGGCTCAGTATCTAGATTTTTTGTTAAGTAATTGTCTGGTTTTACTCTGGAGGTACTTTTCAGCCAGGATTAACATTTAAGTCAGTAGACGTCTACTGAGGCAGATTACCCTCCATTGAGTGGGCCTCATCCAGTCAGTTGAAGACCTTAGGAGACTGTCTTCCCCTAGGAAAGAGGGAATTCTGCCAGAACCACCTTCAGACAAGAACTGCAGGATTCTACCCTAGGTCTTCAGCTTCTGGCACTCTTCAGTTTTCAGACTTGTCAGCCTCTCCCACAATCACATGTGCCAAGTCTGTATAGTAAATATATCTGCCTCTGCACACACACACACACACACACACACACACACACACACACACACACACAATCATGAATCACTCAATGGGGACACGTGTTTGAGGAATGCATCATTAGGAATTGAGGAAATGCACTGAGGAATGTATTTTATTATCTTGAGACAGGGTTTTAAGTATCTGAGGCTGGGCTGGAACTCATATAGTTCATGATGACCTTGTACTTCTGATCCTCCTGCTTTCAGTTCCTGAGTATGAGTACTGGGATTACTGTTGTACACCACCTGTCTAGTTTATGCAGGACTGGGAATTACTCTCAAGGCTTCCTTCATACTGTGCAACCACTCAAGACACTGAGCTCCATCTCCAGCTTGTAGGCTGTTTCATTTTAGGGCCAACATTATTAACTGTACTTATACAAACTAAGATTAGTCTTAGGGCATAAAATCTTTTTGTGTGTATACATATGTACATGTGCAGGTATACGTGTGTGTGTGTGTGTGTGTTTGTAGGCCAGAGACAACCTGAGCTGCTATTGTTCCTCAAGTGCTGTTTACCTTTTGTATGAGTCTCTCACTGGCCTGAGACTTAACTAGTTAGGCCTGTCTCTGCCTCCCCAGTGCTGCAATTCTAAGCATGCATTACCACACTTGGTTCTTTTACATGCGTTCTAGGGTCTCAAACTCAAGGTTCTTATGATTAGAAGGCAAACACTTTACCAACTGAGCTATCACCCCAGCCCAAGGCATAAGATCTTAAGGAATTACTTCTGTATATGTAGTTCATCCTTGACCAAAACGTTATGTGGTACAAGACTGTTGTATTAGTAAGGGTTCTCTAAAGAAACAGAACTGATGAAATATATATATATGTATTTATTAGATTAGCTTACAGGACAGCGTCCAAGTAGTCCAACAATGGCTACACCACCCTGGAGAGGCTCAGTCCACAAGGCTGGATGTCTCAGCAGTCCCAATCTGACACTGAAGGCCTGATGGATTCCTGGAGATCTGCTAGTCTTCAGTGTACATTGGTATCTGAAGAAGTTGGTCATAGCAGCAAGACGAACTCACCAGTGAGACAGAAGACAAAGGGCAAAAGGCAAGAGCTCCCTTCTGCCACGGCCTTTTATATGGGCTGCCATCAGAAGGTAACGCCCACATTTAGGTTGGGTCTTCCAGTTTCAAATGATCCAATCCAGAAGGTCTCTCTTGTTTCAGTTAATCCCAGATTCAGTCAAGTTGATACCCTGGATCAGTCATGACATATGTACACAACCAATCTCTACCCCTCCCCCTTTCTCCCTAAATTTCAGGTTTCCTGTGTTATATGTGTAAGCTCAGTCTCTGAGGGGCAAGTCAAGGTATTGTGGCTTTGGCCAAGTCAATGAACTCCTGAGTCTATTTACATATTGATGAACCAGGAAGCCTCACCTTTTCATGGTTGAATCGAACTAGCATGTTGGTTACTGGTGCTTTTTCTATCCTAGAAACTTCACCCCCAGCTGACACACTACCCTTTTCTTCACATAGACATCCATCTGTCTTTCCTAGACAGATGGATGGAGCAAGGTGTATAAATACAGAGACACTGAGCATTCCTTCAGTTCCTCACACTGAAATTCCTCTTTTGTGTACTTCTTTGATCTGTGGATTATTTGGGTGTGTGCTGGCTACTTGGGTACTAGGGGTTTTTCCAGTTTGCTTTTTTTCTTCCACTATGGATTGATCTCTGAGTTCATTGTTTTGTGGCCAAACAAAATCTATTTTTGAAATGATTTCAACCTTCTAGCATTTGACTTGTTTTATGGCCAGCATGTGGTCTAATTTGGAGACTGTTCTATGTGTTCTTGAAAAGACAATGTATTCCGGAATTTCTGTGCAAAGTGCTTCATAAATATAAGTGGGCTCAAGTTGGTTTGCAGTGTTGTACAAGTTTTCAATATTCTTACCAACTGTCTTTCTGCTTGTTCTATCAATTACTTAGAATGGGCAACTCAAACCTCCAGCTATTTTCTTGGTTGTTGTTTTGAGACAGGAACTCATATGGCCCAGGCTGGCCTCAAACTTGCAATACAGCCAAGGATGACCACCTCTGGGCTCTTGAACCTTCTGCCTCCACTTCCCAAATGCTGAGATTACAGGTGTGCACCACCATGCTTGGCTCCTCCAGCTATTATTGTTATGCCTGGCTGGCTCGAATGCACTGTCAACAAGGCTGACCTCAAAAGCACAGAGATCTGCCTGCCAGGGTGACCCTGTCTCAAAAAGACAAAAAAAAAAAAAAAATAAATAAAAAAATTACTATGCTAGTCTTAAGCCTTTTGAATGCACTGTTAAAGTCTATTCAAACTTTGGTGGAAATTTCAAGTTAAGTTTTGCTAATTTTTCCGATCTTTTTTTCTATTTCTGTTCTTATTAGTTATGATTAAAATTTTAGTATTTTAATTCCCCTTAATATTTTAATTTAATAATCACATTAATTAATTAATTAATTTATTTATTTTGAGACAGGTCTGCTGGTAGCCCCAGCTGGCCTGGAACTTACTATGTAGACCAGGTTAGCCTCAATCTCACAGAGATCCACCTGCCTCTGCCTCCCCAGTGCTGAGATTAAAGCATGTGCTGCCATACCTGGCCATTACTATTATTTTTGAGACTAGTCTCACTATATGTAGCCTAGGCTGGCCTGGAACTTGGAGTCTTCCTGCTTCAGACTCCTGAACACTGGGATTACAAGAGTACGTGACCATGTTCCAAACTATTTTTCTTTTTCTTCTTCTCATGTATATGTGTGAGTGTTCACATGCGTGTGTGGGTGCACGTGTGTATTCAAGGTGTATGAAAAGATTCAATCGAGCTAACATCCTCACCCTGAATACTTCCTGTCAACTTTTTTTTGAAAAATTCCAGCAGGCCTGGAACTCACTATGTAGACTCTTAGAGATCCTCCTACCTTAGCTGCTAAGTGCTGGGACTGAGGGCGTATAAAGGCGTGCAACTTTTTTGTTACACTTTTTGAGTCACTTTGTTTTAGTGATTACCATATGCATTGTAATTTATTACAGTCACATCCAAGCAACTTAATTATGATATAATACAAAGCATTTGTGGGACACTGACAAGTTACTATTCATATCTGTTTATGAAAACAATGGCTCTGGTATTTTCATAGACCTAAATAACCAATGCTTAAATCAGCAGGAACCAGCTGGTTGTGGTGGTCCAATGCCTTTAATCCCAGCACTCAGGAGACAGAGGCAGACAGATCTCCAGGAGATGGAAGCCAGCCTGGTCTATATAGTGAGTCTAAGCCAGCTGAGGCTACAGGGAGACCCTGTGTCAAAACAACAAAACAACAACAACAAAAACAAGACCCCTAAAACCAAAAAAACAACAGGAACCTACAAATGTTGAGGTATTATATATTCTTTTGTTAGACAGGAAGAAGGGACTAAAAAAATTAAATTATTTTCTTAAGAAAACACACCTGCAAAATGAATACTGCCTTAGATTTGCAAAAAGGTCAAGGTCAAGTTTCAGAGGCTGCTGTATTGAGTGCATTACAAATGCAAACAGATGGATCTTCAGAAGTGGAGGTTTATTTCATTAAAAATCACAACAAAACAGACTCATCCCCAGACAGGACTGTATCCTTAGAGCAGCAGCAATCACAAGGCACCTCAAGCAAAAGAGAAATTCAACATTAAAATATCACAGATCATTAAAAAGTCATTGAAGTTCGCTTGTTAATATGAACATAGATCACGGAATTACATTAAAAAAATCTAATCCCTTTACCTTTTTAACAAGGGAATAATGGCACTGCTATTACTGTTGCTATCATGTGGCTAAAAACTCAAGCCTTTACCACCTAACTTGGTTTGCCAAAGAAAAAACTGGATAACTTAAAAATCACTTTTAGCGTTTTTACACCTTTCTTAGGCACCTGGAATTTATAAGATGAAAAGAAGTCATTGTTTTTCTCAGCTTAGAAAAGCTCATAGTTTTATGTCCATAGACAAGACCACCAATAAGAAAGGAGTACATTTGAGATAGTCTCAAATTTCATGGATACGATTTACATTTTGGGATCAACATCGTAACCTTCTTCCGAAAACCAATTAGAAGTTAATATATAATAAATATAAAGTCAATTACAAGAAAATAAAATGTTTGATTCAAATTATTGCTTGGGAAGTAGCATGAATATTCTCTGGCTAGTGATGTGAAGATTAGAAATGACAATCTCACTATCCAGTGCATAGAAAATTCTAGGATTCAAATATATTATATGGACTTTGTAATACCAAAAGGTGTTTCTTTGCATATCAGCCACTATTCAGTTCAACAGGACAGAGACTGGAAAAGGGCAGCTGCATCAGCCCTCCCCCACAGGAAACGTATCACATACAATTTCCTCTCAGCAGCAGGTTGCAAAGTCTTTTTCTATGAAATATGAAGGAGAGCTTACAGAATCATTACTACAGATGGGAGAGAAGAAGAATAAAACTCCAGTTTTTAACAACAAAAGGAATATAAAATGCTAATATGGTAAAACATTTGAACAGTACTAAATGGCACAATTTAAATACCAGTTAGATGTTGTCATCTGTCTTCCTCTAAAAAGTCAGCTCTTGGGCTTTTAAACGTGTTTTCAAAAATCCATCCATCGTCCATGGACATGCATTCAGCCTATAGCCACACTGCGGAACAGCGATTCCAATGACATAGAGTTCTTAGGTCACTCCCTGGCCAGCGAGAGGTCTCCAAGGAGTTCTGTAGGCCACTGGGCACTGGCTGTAGCCTACAGCAGCACAGCCTGAGCTACCTCTTTGATGGTGGATGCAGCTTTCTCCAGTTCTTCCTCTGTTTGTTCTACTGTGACCACAACCCTGATGCTGAAAACACAAAGGACACCAAAAATCAAGTCAGATTCTATACTGAGATCAGCTGGCTCCAGACAGGCTTCTGTTAAAGTTCTGCAGGAGGCTGACCTGCTACTCAGTAATATCCACCTGCAGCTGCCTTGCTACCACGTGGCGGGAAGGAGTAGCTGTGACAGGGCCCTGTGGCCTGCAGGCCTAAAACACCTCTCTGTAGCCGTGGCTTCTTGCCTGGCCCACTCATGTCCATGTTCGGCTCTGGAGCTGTCAGTGTGCTTGGCAAGCATGTCCTTTCAACAATCTACTACTTCAAGCAGTCCTGGTCCAAAGCAGGAATTCAACACTTTTTTTCTTTTTTTTTGAGACAGGTTCTCCCTGTAGCCCCAGCTGGCCTGGAACTCACTATGTAGACCAGGCTGGCCTTGAATTCAGAGATCAGCCTGCTTCTGCCTCCCGAGTGCTGGGATTAAAGGTGTGCACCACCACAGCCCAGCTTAGGAATCCAACATTTGTACACCAAGTTGTTGCTCCTATTTAATAATTCAATGAGAAATGTGGATGTCCTGGACTATTTGAAGGCAAAGCAGGAAATTTCAAGTTCTTAGGAAAATTGATCACATTCCCCATCCTTTGCCAACATCTGCTTCAAGCACTAGACATGCTGGGCATGGGGCACTAAAGATAACATAGGTATGGCTCTTGTCCAACCTTTGTCCTGACAAGTGAGCACAAAGTGCAATTCAGGTGGGCAAAAGGAAAGCCATAGGGTCAGAGTGATAAGGTATGCTTGAGCTGATGCTTCAGAGATCTCACCTAACCCCACCGTGGCCTTCTGAATTTGCATTTCAATGAACTCCTTAGGGAGCTCTGCTGTGCCCTGGCCCACCTGTATCTCATGCTCTGGACTCTAGCTTGAACTTGGAGGTGTGCAAAGCCACTGCAGACCCCTGAGGAAAGTGCAGTTTCTCATCTGCTGAAGATCACGGTGCCCACCAGGGTCCTGATGGGCACAGATGGTGCTTTACCCAGGGTGGGATCCCATCCCCAGGGTGGGATCACACCTCAACAAACCCTCTGTGCTGCCCGTGTATCTAATCCACATAACCTACTGAGCTCAGAGCCTTTCATACTCTTGAGCTCATGACATTTGCCTACAGTTTGGAAAAGTCAATAAAATTATACAAAACTGATTTTATATTTCTTGTACCTTATTAGACTCTGCATTAAAACAGAGGCAGGAGAATGATCTATGGTGTGTTTTCCCATCATGGTAAGTATTAAGGCAAACCATCAGAATTTGGGGACTATAGGCACTTGATTGTCCAAGGCCAGGGTGTCACCTGTTCTAGGAAGCCTTAGCATCATGCCAGTCTTGTGATCTCTGACCCAGGGCTCTGATGGGAATCCACTTCCTGATTACAGTGTAAGCATTTTGAGAACAGTCTCTTTCACCACCTCAATAGTCTGTGTTGGTGAATCCTCCCTTTGCTCTGCTTTCCCTAGGTGCTTTGGTATCTGTAGGACAAAGCACCCATAGACTCTGGCCAGCAGTGTCAGCAAGATGACCAAACCCAGGCTGCTCTCTTCCCTCAGGAGTCTTCACAGTGAGGACTGCAGTTAGAATCTGGCCACTATTAGCTGATCAAAACCTATCACCAGTTCACTCTTTGGCCACCACACACTTGAGTTACTTGGGAGGACACTTAGTCCTGAGGTGCTTTTCGGTTAAAATTAAAAACATCTAGTTTGAGAACAGAACATGGCGTACCCTATATGTTAAGGGCATTCTTTCTTATCCTGTGTTAATCTTTCAAGTTTCCCAAATGTAATACATTTCAGAGTTTAAAGAAGAAAGGTGAGGTTGTATTTTAATCTTAACTAACCTCGGAGGAGGGAGGCACTTCTCTTCCTTCTCCAAGTAGCGCGCCTGAGTTAATGCAACGCGTCTGTTCATGCACTGCAGGTGGAAAGGGAAATGTTAGCAATGCAGACTGAGATTATAGTGAGATGTGCACTTGTCACTCATGTTTCCATTCTGAGTGTAGGAGATAAAGTTAACATGCCCTAGTGTGTGCTGAGTGTTTGCCCATCTCACAGCCCTTCCTGTGATAGTGGGTGAGTTGGGCTGCAGAGCCTGGCCAATGCAGAGCCTATGTGATTTCTGAGCACGAGCACTTGGAGGAATGGCTAGGCTCCCTGCAGATTGCATGTCGGAAAGAGGCTGTGTGTTTTTACAAAGTTTTAAGTTATGAAGCCATGGGCAATCAGAACCTACCATTTCAAACTAGAGTGAGAACACAGGGAGGCAGGGAGTCTGCTGGCTGACTAAAAGCAAGCTCTAGGACAAGGTGATAGGTTTTAGGTAGGTGATAGGTTTGATATGCTCTAGAATTAGGCACCAGTAGTCTCAGGGTCTTGTGAATATACTAAAAGTCAGTGATTACAAACTTCCAAAAGAGCTGTGAGGAGTATATTTACATACATACATACATACATCTGTGCACACATGATCCACAGAGCAGGGCATGATGCATAAAGGAAAAGAACAACTACTTTAAATGCTCAGCAGTGAAAGCTTCAGCCCAAAGAAGGGTGGCTGTAAGCTGCGGAAAGGAATGGGAAACAGTGCAGACAACAGGACAGCTGCTCCCTCACTCCAGTTCTAGGAAGTGAACTTGGAAGCATGCCGGCCTCCTGAGAACATCTGGCCTGCCTCTGTGTCTAGCCCTGCTGCCTAAGAGACATCACAAACCAGAGCTGTTTGTGAAAACAGTGTCCTGTGAAGAAACTCAGCATAAACTTGGCAAAGCTCTCCGTTCTACGAGGAGTAATAAGAATTACGGTATCATGATTCTTTTTCTTTAAATACAGAAAAGAACAGGAGAGTGGGGCAGAAGACTGTGAAGATTTTTAAGGTGGTGGCTGTGACAGTGCAAAGAAGCTGCAGGCCTTTCTGTTTTTTTCTTGTGAATGACATTTCCCGAGAGTGCTGTTCCCTGTGCTGGATTTTCTCACTCAATTCTCAGACAGCCAGTTCCATGGGAAGGTCAGCAGATCATGAGTTTGGGAGCTGGAAGTTGTCCATGAACTTCATATTAATTTCTTTTGGTCAATGTGGGTGCATGTGGAGACCAGAGGACAACCTTGGCTATCACTCCTCAGGAGCTGCCCACCTTTTTGTTTGAGCAAGGGTTTCTCACTGGCCTAGTACTTGCCAATCTCCCCCATGTTGAGATTACAAGTATGCACCATCACAACTGACTTTAGAAAAAATGTGGGTTCTGGGGATGGAACTCAGATCCTTATAAGCCTGCAAGTCAAGCTGTACTGACTGAACCACCTTCCCTCTGAATGTTTGTTTGTAGTTTCGTGCATATGAGCTCCATCTCTCCGGACAGCAGTTTCACTGTGCTAATGCAAAAGAACAAAGCAGAGTAGGGGCCTGATATGGAGGTGATACACTAGCACTGAGAAAAGAGTAGTCCAAGCACAGGGGTGTGCATGGACCACTGTCCATGGGAGACAGAAAACAAATGACAGGCTCCAACTCAGGCACACGTGGCTTGTATGGCCTGTTCTGTGTCCTTTGGCCTTGGCCCTACCAATGAGGACAATTCTGTTGAAAATGGACTTAACAGTGTCATGTGGAGTTAAGGTAAGGAACCCAAGTTGTACTGGCTTGTCCATTTAATTGGTACTGAATTTTAAACAGTGTTTTGTTTTCTACCTTTGTCTAAAAACTCAAATCACAAACTTACTTTTGTGTTTGTACATATTTAGGGTAAAATGATGAGAGAGTCAAGAGGGTGGAGAGATGCTCTGTCCTTTTAAGGAGTTCTATCTTTCCTTAGGCCTGCAGAGCTGAGCCCAAGAGGACATATGTCACAGGTCATTTGCTAGCAAGGCAAGCCTGACCACCATACTCTACGTGTTTCATTAACTAGGACTCTCAGACTCTGGATTCATTTATATTTTTGTTTTCTTTAATACAGCAGATCCCAAAAGATCACATACCGTATGTAGTACTCCACGGATCCTCATTCCAGATCACACAGTTCAAATACACAAGATGAAGGGCAGCCAGGGTAGGCTGCACAGCTAGAGATGGCCTTTCACATACCAGTTGCACACCTGAGGGCACTGGTGTGCCTCAGTGCCCTCAAGGCATGCCACAGGGATGGAGGGGACAGGTGGCAGGCACTCCCTTTACTCTTAAGGAGACTGGTAGTTGATTTCAGAGCAGGAACACGAAGTGGAATGAAGACTGGAAGAATGGTAAGGAGGCTTCAGGAGAGGCAGCTACTGTTGAGATCACTGGCCAAGCAGCTTCCCCAGAGTGTACTGGGTCAACTCAGCAGTAATTAGTAAAATCTTAGTGAAACTGAGAAATTTAGCCAGGCATGGTATCTCACACCTGTAATCCCAACACTCAGGAGGTTGGGGCAGGAGGATCACCCATGAGTTAAAATTCATCCTGGGCTACACACTGAGTTTCAGATCAGCTTGAGCTACATAGTAAGACCCTATCTCATAAAATGCAAACGGCGAACAGTTAAGTTTTTTGCAGGGCTGTTCTGGAGAGAAGCTAAGCACAGGGTAAATACAGCACAGCACCATGGAGAGAGAAGGCCTGTGGCCTGTCCCTTCAGGAACCCTGGGAGCTTAGCAGGGTTGGCCGGGAGGGCTGAGGGAATTAGGACAATCCGGTCATGAGCTAGGTGACTGGTAATGTCTGGTATACCCCATCTCTCAGGGCAAAGAGATCTTCCTGAAAAATGAGGTAAAGGAGGGTGGAAAGGGCGTGAGGAGTTCACTGAGTAACTGCATACTTACTTGATTTACGATTTCCTGAAGTAGTTTCACATCTTTCTCCCGAGACCCAGTGCTCTCTTCCAGTTGGAGGTGAAATGCTGGGGAAAGGGACTCCCCCACCACTTTTAGTCCAGAAATGCTGGAGAAGCAAGCACACACTCCCGTTGGTCCACTGCTGATTCACAGTGCTCTCACACAGGTAACTTAACAGCTGGCACTGTCAAGGCTCACCGGACTGAACAGAGACCCTGATGGAAGCACCACATGATGCGATTCCAATGTGCTGCCTGGGTGGTGCCTTCCAGCCTAGGAAATGCCTGCAGACTGGTTACTGTGAGCATGAGCCAGGAAGGAAGGCTGCTGCTCAGGGGGACACTGTCCGTCCCCCACCCCCGCCCCCAGTCTCCCACTGCAGTCTGGGTGCTCCCATTATTTGCACTACACGAGAAGCTGTCTTATGGGCTCCTCAACTTGGCTCTCCCATCTCAGCCACTGTGTACTGCTTTCTTATTCCTGCGAATGCTGCTCACCTGGGGTCCAGCTCATGCTGCATCTTGGGGTGGGGGGGCTCCCTTAGCACCCGTTTTAGAAGGGATTTACCACTATTTTCTATGATTGCCCTTCACAGCCACTTACTGCAATATATGATTATGTGTCCATGCTTGTTACCTAAGCCTTTAGTGTGTACTGTCTGCCATAAACTAGAGATGTGATTTTCAACATTAATACATTTTTACTACCAACAACAGGTTCGCTTGAACAACTTTCTCACTTGTGTGACTTGTTTTGAATCTTATTTGGATTAAGATTTTTCTTAGATGAACTGCACAGCAGTCTGTCTCAAGGAGGAAGACAGATTTGTGTTGGGGTAAAATCTTGTGATTATTAAAGATTCAGGACAGCTGCACGCCATTTAGTCAGGTTCACTTCGGCCTACGATACTCGACAACAAGAATGACTATTTGACTTTTTGTCCCATCTCCTAGAATACAAATCGTGACACATGCCTATTTGAATCTGGGCTAAGCATTTCAGACCAGCTGCATTCATTCAGATCTGCTTCCCGTGGGATGAAACGAAGCACTAGACAGCACTGCGCATTTTCCCTGTTTAGGACTCAGAAAGTATCTGCACAACAGCTGCTTCTGTGGTTTGAATCCCTGTCTGTGGAAGTCCATGTGACTGTGTAGACGCCAGGGAGCACTACGGAATGGTGTGGACCTTTAGGATGTAGGCCTTGTGGGAAGTCCTGAGGTCACTGAGGATTGTCCTTCTGAATGGTAATGTGGGACTCTAACATCCTCTTCCTGTTTATTGGCTTGAGATCAGTGCTTTGCTCTACCACGCATTTCCAAAGAATCATGACCTGGAACCTCCAAAACCATGAGCAAAATAAACCTTTCCAATTTATCAGTTAACTGCCTCAAGTATTTTACTGCAGTGATAGAAAGCTATAAATAATGCTAATGCGAGGTGCTGGCAGCTAATCTTGCTTGGCATTCAAGCTACCATCAAGCATTACTAACTTATTATCTCCTTTATTTACATGAAAACACAACATGCTAGGTTCTCTCAACAGAGAAGGGCACAGGACTGAGTTTGGAACCTTAGAATCTAGTGCATCAGCAATGTGGAGAAACCTAGATCAGTTTTCACAATGCAGAAACTAAGCAACATACTTTCAAGATCTGTCTCCTGTGTGAATGTTGACTGGGTATACCAAGAAGGGTCATTTCCTTAGTATAGAGAAGGCACCTAAACCCAATCTAGCTTGTGCTCTGATCAGATGGGCTTGGGTCATGTGTGGGTAGAACAGGTTGGTGGAGGAGTGCAACAGAATGCTCTACTTGTGTGCTGAGGCCAAATTCACACGAGACCAATGATAGTTGAATGGAAAAGAATTGCAGTGCAAGTCCAGAAGTTTCAGAGCTTTTCATGCACTTGGCAAACACGTCACTTCACCCAAATAGGTAAATACTAAACCTTGGGTTAGGTCCCAGTCCCAAGGCCACCATGGCTTGCACTCACAGCCCAGAAAAGAACTGGCTGATAACAGTTGCACATGGGGGCAAGAAGGGGTGGGGGTGTGGGAGGAACGCTTCTTTCTGTTCTGGTGGAGATGGAGAAAGAACAGGCCAATGACTTCCCCTAAACTCAACTTCTGAAGCAAGGGAGGAAAACTACGGATGACAGAAAGCTAAAGAAAAATTACTTAGGTCTAAGCAGTAAAGACACTGCTTCAAAATGTCTACCTTTAATAAATTTACTGGAAAGTAAAAAAAAGCAGTAAGCTAAATGTCAGAAGTAGAAGGGCTAAGAATAAATGCTATGAAGGGGTGGATAAAAATGAAGGAGAAAATAATGACAGCAAACAAATGGATGGAAACACAAAAATAAAACAGTATCTAGAAATTTCCATTAAAGCTCTTTTTACAGGTACAAGGGCTTTATGGGGGGGGGTCAAATCCTATTAAAAAACATAAATGAAATGAGCAGTGATGTCCTGTTCGTAGATGAAAATCAACCAGAGAATCTGATGTAATTCCAACTAAAATTCTAGCAGTAACTTTGGGGAGACCTGTACTAATTAGAAAGGGATGAGTAAATAAAGCAGTGAAACAGAAGATGGTTCAAAAAAGAGACCTATGGAGGAACCGCAGGCCTCTCTCCGACACGCAGGCCTCTCTCCAGGGCAAGTCTATCGCGCCCTCCATGCCTTGACTCCCCCAGCCTCATTCACCCTCCCATCTCCCCCGCCAGTCTCTCCTCCTAGCCTGGCTCCTGTCCCATTCCTTGTCTTGGAGCCCCAGACACCTGGGGAACCACTATTGCTTCCTGATCTTTTTCATCCAGACCAAATCAGTGCCTTCTCTGGTCCCCAGGAGCACTGCTTCTGGGCCTGGCCCTGCCCTCACCTCCCTCTGCTTCCCTGGGCCTGCAGGACCTGCAGGCCTCTCTCCAGGGCAAGTCCATTGCACCCTCTGAGCCTAGATGCCCCCAGCCTCATTCACCCTCCCATCTCCCCTGCCAGTCTCTCCTCCTAGCCTGGGTCTGGCCCATTCCTTGTCTTGGTGCCCCAGATACCCGGGGAAACACCACTGCTTCCTGATCCTTTGCATCCAGACCAACTCAGTGCCTTTTCGGGTCCCCAGGAGCACTCTGGGCCTGGCCCCGCCATCACCTCCCTCTACTTCCCTGGGCCTGCACCACCCAACTAGCCTCTTTCTGGGTCACCTGGGCTGACCTTTCCTCTTCCTGATCCTTTGCATCCAGACCAACCTAGCTCCCCAGTGCAGTCCCCAGGAGCCCTTGGGGCTGCTTCCCGACCCCATCTGTCTTTGTATCTCTGGGCGGCACGGCCACCAGCTGCCCTAGACCAGCATCTTTCCAGGGCCCGGCTTCCAGGCCAGTCCAACCCCCAAATTCCTGAGGCCAAAAACTTTCCTGGAATCCAGACCTTAGAAGAAAGCCCGAGAGCATCTGATCCTCATCTGACTTGGCCTCTGTGGGAACTCCTGAAGACAAAAGCAATCTGGCCACTCCAATATAAAATCAAAAGAGAGAACCGGAAGCTTAGACAAAGCAGGTTTTCATGCCCCAAAAGTAAACCACAAAGACATATAAAGTTCACACACAAAAAAGCAGACCTAAACGTGAAGCCTTGAGTTTCACACAAGAATTAGAAACTACAAAAGAAATCCACATGTCAAAATCACAGAGGAAAAAATAACAACATGAAAAACCAAAATAACATATCCCCACCAAATACCAAAAGTCCTCTAGAGGAGTGCAATGAAAACCCCTTAGAGATAATGCAGGATATGGAACTCAAAAGAACAATTATAAACATGATAAAAGAATTCAGTGAATTTAAAGAACACACACACACAAAAGAAATCAAAGAACTGAAGGAAGATAGGGATAAACTTCTGAATGAATTCAGAAAAAAGTTAGAAATACTGAAGAATACTCAGGCTGAAATGAAGAAGGAAGTGAAACACTCAGTAAGCCAATTAGAAATGACAGGAGAAAGCCTCACCAACAGGATGAATGAAATGGAAAACAGTATCAAGACTGGAAGATAAAGTGGACGAATTAGACCACTCAAGCAAAGATTATGAAAAATTTAAGAAACCAGAAGAATGGAATATGCAGGAATTGTGAGACACCATAAAAAGACCAAACTCATGAATCATAGTCATACAGGAAGGAGAAGAATCTCAAGATAATGGTATGGACCAGATCTTCAACAGAATTGTGGAAGAAAATTTCCCAAAATTAAAGAAAGACATGCTCATACTCATATAAGAAGCATCAGACAGGACCAGAAAAGAAACTCTCCACAGCACATCACAGTAAAAACTACACATAAAAAACAAAGAGACAATTCTGAAATCTGCAAAAGAGAAACAACAAGTCACATATAAAGGAAAAACCCATTAGGATTATAGCTGACTTTTCAGTGCAAACTATGAAAGCCAGAAGAGCCTGGACCAAAGTATTCCCAGTTTTAAATGACCACAGATGCCAACCCAGATTACTATACCCAGCCAAAAGGTCAAAGGGGAAAGAAAAATCTTCCACGACATAAATAGGCTGAAGGAATTCATGTCCACAAAACCAGCCCTTCAGAGAGTTCTGGAAGCAATACAAAGAGCTAAAGAAAGGAATGACTATACCCAAGGGCTTGTGGAAAGAAATCCAATGAAGGTGTAACTGTGGAAAAGTACAGCTATATAAAGAATGTAAACCGAAATAAAAATGACAGGATTCAATACTCATCTTTCATTAATAACTTTAAATATTAAATGACTGAACTCCCCAGTCAAAAGACATACACTAGGTGAATGGATTAAGAAACAAAACCCATCTTTTTGTTGTC